TCCCTTCCCTGCCATATCCCTTAGTGTCCCCCCAACCTGTTTCTTAGTGCCCCCATCCCTCTTTTCTCCCCTTAGTGTTCCTCTACCCCTTTAGTGTTCCTCTCCCTTTCTTTCCCTCACTTTAAGTGGTTCCCCCCTCCCCTGTCCATTGATGTTCCTTTTCCCTCCCCTTCCCTGTCCCTTAGTGCCCCTGCATCCCTTAGTGTTCCTCTCTCTCCCCCCACCCTTAGTAGTCCGCTCCTCTCCTCCCTTGGTATGCCTCAATACCTCTCTTGTAGCATGGCAGAGCGGAGCGCACCTTGGTACGGGAGCTTCCATTTCCGCCTGTGCCGCCTTATGGATGTGTCGTCCCTGCTGGGCATGTGAGTATTCTACAACCAGCACATTCAGTTAATTGCAGGTAAAGTGTGCATCTGCAATGTGTGTGAGTCACTAATAGGCAACACTAAGATTTTGTTGTGATCTATAGGGGTGAATGTTAGTGGTGGTTTTCTGCTAAACCTGGGATTGGAGGCTGGAAATCTTGCAGCATTTTTTGGTTCACAATATCTACAGGCTGTCTGATATATAGTAACCGCAATGTCAATAAGCATTCAATAATTTATATGTTGCATACCTCCCAACATTTGACAATTGACATAGAGAGACAATTTCATTTTAGGGGTGTATGTTAACGTGTGGCCATGGGTGAAACTGTTGTTAGCCATTTTAGGCGATATGCTAATAATAAATTATGTAAATAAAGTTTAATTCAGAGTAAGAACAGTGTCTCTTATTTATGCAGATTGATTTCTAAATACATGTAACTTAAGACATATTACTGTGAATATTATTGCTGTGGAGCTCTGTTAGGTTGATTATATATTTCCTACCTGTTCTATGTTAAATTTTGTATATATTGTGTATTAATATTGTTTTTGTATTTTCTTGTACCCTAATGTAACAATGCAATGATTTGTGGACCCAGGACATACTTGAAAACGAGAGAAATCTCAATGTATCTTTCCTGGTAAAATATTTTATAAATATAATATACACTCAGACACACCAATAATATGGAGCACCTGGAAAAGAGAGACATTAGGACAGAAAGAGGGACAATGGGATTTGGGCCCAAAGTAGGGACTATATCTCCTAAATAGGGACATGTTGGAAGTATAATACTGTACTTACAAATTAATGACAATTGTATAAGTAAATGCTGTACACAGGTAGCAAAAATGTGCTCCAGGAGTGCCTGCAATGGTAAATGTGTGGGCAAAGTTCAGTGAGAACACTATTTCTGTGCAATAAATATGACCGGCATTTACACAGCACATTTTAAAAAAAAGAAGGGAAGTATGAAGATGGAATTAAATAAACTCGTCAAACCTTGTCAGACATTTTGATAATAAGATTGAAATTAAATGTATACTGTAAGTCACTACTTAGCAGATGTGACTCCATTTTGTAACAAAAGTTAAGAAAGAGACAGACAGTCACAACTCATTCCATAGAGATTACTGTGTTTTTTGGGAGCTAGAAGAACTATAAAGGTATACAAGGGAGCTAGAAGAACTATAACCACTACAGTTCAGTGAAGTGGTTATAGATAAAGAGTGTTTGGGCACCAACTGCTATTTTTTTGTCATGCCATTTGGGAGCAGTTTGATAAAAACTGGGGCTCTATCCAGCACCCATAAACTACATGCTCTCAGCACCACTTTGATTATACAAAATTTGAACTTTCATAATATCAGTATTGGTTCTGTTCAAACTGTTTTTTGGAAACACCATAACCACTACACTGAGATATCCGTGTTATGGTGCTTCGAGTGCCACACTTCAAGCATCATAACAACTACAGCTTGCTGTCATGATTGTCCTAGCCACTCCCCATGTAAGTATTCCAACCATTTTAGAATGGTTTGACTTACATGGAGTCTACCGGCCTCAGGTTCTTCATCAGTGTCTTTCCCACTTTTGCAATTAAAGAGTTAAATTATGAGCTGAGCAAGGCACTACATAAAAGAGTTTATGAAATGCACCTTGATGCCTGATGGAAAGCCATAAATCATTGTTAAGTGTAGTATTATTTTAAAACATATAATCCTCCTTATCATTTCCACACAAGAACCTAGAGGTTATTGCTTGGTTATGGGTTAAGAACTTCCCTTATTGTTAAATGATAACCTTGGATGGGAAGGTACTACGGTAAAGGCATTGGCAAAAATCCTAAATCCTCAACCTTCCTAGCTATAAAGAGTTCATTACCCTTAGCCAAATAGAGCAGACGTCAGATATAAGAAAAAGTTCATGGCTCTTGCCTTAGCAACTCCTTAGAGGGGCACTTTAAGTATTAAAACCACTGTCATCAAGGTTATGGTGCCAGGAGTCCCCTAATAATGTCCCATTGTTAAGAGCCAAACTTTTCAAACCTGTTTGATATTTACCTGAAACCCTGGATCCCACACTCCTGCCCCTCTTTATAGATTTTGCTTTCGTGGAAGTTCCTGCTTCGGCAATAGCAATATCAATTATGTTTGCTTTTGGACAGAATTAATTTCCTGAGAGAGTCAAGTAACACTCCTAAGCCAGGGGATTCTGACCAAAGTTGGACAAAACTGATACTTCTAACGAGGAAGGTGAACTTTTTTGCATTAGCAATATTGGTACAGGGGGCTTGACCATGGAGGGAGTCTGTGGTAAATGTCAAACTATCCAGAAATGGTTTGATTCTTAACAGTGGGATGGTGGCCAAGGACAGTGTGCTGCAGTGGTTATGGTGCTTAGAGTGACCATTTAAAAAGTAGTCTGACTTTCCTGAATATAGTATATACAGTTATAAACACTGCCTGGAAGTAAACAGGATTTCAATTGTCCAAAGCATTGTCATTGTATACAAGGATTGGAAGGTATACCACTGTATCCCCTGCAGACAAAATACCTGGAGTTGCGGAGTGTAGACTGTATTGCCATATATGCAGTGATGTAATGATACTCTTATAATCAGCCCTTTAATAAAAATGCTAAACATTAACAGCTTGAAACTGTAGCCAGGGTGATCAACAGAGATAATGTGACAGCCATTTTGCCTCCCTGACTGCACACTAGGAGTATGGCACCAGGGCCGGCGTGTTCTATAGGCGATTTAGGCAGTCGCTCAAGGCGCACCGGCCCGGGGGGCGCAAGTTTTGAGTGACTCGGCATGACGGAAGCGCACAGTACACAGCTAAGGAATGGGAGTGGAGAATACTAAGGGACAGGAGGGGAGAGTTCTAAGGGACAGGGGGAGAAGTGGAGTTTAGGGTAGGGTTTACTACTAAGGGTTGGGGGAAGTAAAAGAGATCATTAAGGGACAGGGGTAGTGTAAGACACACAGAAAGGCTGAGGAAGGGTTGGTAGGGGAGACAGAGACACACAGAGGGGCTCAGGAGAGAGACACACAGAGTCGATTGTGAGGGAGACACATACAGGGGCCTGGGGGGAAAAGAGACACACCAAGGAGCTGGGAAGAGTAGGGCAAAAAGGGGCTTGGGGGAGTAAGACACACAAAGGGGTTGGGAGGATGTAGGAGACACACAATAAGAGGGGGGATAAGAGACACGTAAGAGATACACTAAAGGGGAGTGTAAGACACAAAACGGAAAGAAAATATATACAAAAAAAATTATATTAACAAAATAAGTATAATAATAAAAATAAAGAGCTGCTCCCCTCTCAGCCCCTATCCTACCCCACAAACCCTCTCTTTCACACTACACACATACACAATGCATCCTTACATATACACAGAAACACACATGCACAGAATGCATCCGTACTCACACAAACACACACTGAAACATACAATGCATCCTACACTCACACAGAAACACACCATTCTTCCCATACACACACAAAAACACACAATGCACCCCTTACAAACACACAATGCATACCTCACAAACACACACACAATACAGCCCTTGCACACATACACAGAAGCACACAATTTATCCCTTACACACACACACACACACTGCTTCTCTTAATGCATCTCTTACACACACTCAATGCCCCCCTTACAGGCACACACACTGCATTACATTACATACACAGAAACATACCGTGCATCCCTTACACATACAAACACAGATTCACACAATGCATCCCTTACACACACACACACAGGGGCGTTTTAGCCGTGAGGCAAACAAGGCATTTGCCTTGGGCGGCATTTTCCAGCGGGCGGCAAAAAAAGCCGCCCCCCAAATGCCCAGGGCAAATGCCTTGTTAGCCTTGCGGCTAACTGACATGCCGGGCGGGAGGCTGGCGAGGGAGCACTTCCTCTGAGCACTCTGCTCAGCTCCCTCGCGCGCCGTGGGTGATATATTCTCCCTAATTTAACCTAATAGGGCAGTTCTCAGCTTAGCCAGTCATATAAAAAGGGGCAACCGATGCCCAGTTGGGGCCATCCCAGTGTTCTAAATAAGATAGCAGATCTGCATTCCTTCAGAGCCAATTTAATAAACCTAATGATTGAATAACCCAACTGATCTGATCAGAGTTCTCTACTGCAAGCAGCTAACATATGGACCAAGTATGGTTTTACCACCACTGTTCCCATTGCCGTTTTTCCATTTCAGTTATATGAGCCTAAATTATGCTTGTCAAGTGTCCACAGCTCCTGACTTAGGGAACACATTCTACATAACCTTATTCTTCCATAACATGCATTGTGTTAATGCTCTAGGTAACTCTAAAGAGGAATTTTCCATTCCGGGAGATGATGACATTTTGCATTATCTTGCAAGAGGAGATAGAGATCTTTTGATTGCAAAACTCCCAGGTGATATCATCCCAGAGATAATGTCTTTGATTATCTAGATTTTTTTTATCACTATCTGAACCTGGTGATTTCTCTGTAGGTCAGTTACACCACTCTCAGTGCCTTATCAGATTGTCTGTACAATTCAGAGATGTGGTCTGATAAATGATGGGGGAGGAGCGACAAGACCCAGGGTTTAAAACCTGGGCATCTCCAGTCTAAAATCATTCCCTTGTTATCCCACTGCATGCTTTCCTGACTTCTAGTCTACAAACCAGCAGCAGAAACACCATGGCCTTCAGTGGAAAATACGAAGTGGAATCCCAGGAAAACTATGACGCCTTCATGAAGCTCATTGGTGAGTAATATTACATTTTAATACAATATGAGACAAAAGACGAAGAGGCAAGTGATAGGATTACGCAGACAGATACACACACAAACATACATATACATACGTTTAATTGATATCTCATAGATATATCCCAGGACATACTTGAAAACGAGAGAAATCTCAATGTATCTTTCCTGGTAAAATATTTTATAAATTAAATAAATATACTATTACAATGTGTATACAACTATTTTTATATTGTGTGTATATAAGTACTGCAACTTTCTGTCCCTCGTCTCTAATGTAATGCATCCTGTCAAGTGATAAGAATATCTGTTACCTTTATGTGAAATATATATACTGTACAATTACTGTTCTTCTACTCTACTGTAATGTAACACAAAAAATATCAAATGCATCTGTTTTATAGAAATAAAATATACACTATATAACTAATACACTTGACTAGCAATTATTGATGTTACTGTAAAACAGCCTAAGCCTTGAAGTGTTAAGTAGTTACATCACCTCTATATAAATGAAACACATGCACTGTTTAATTACCGCATTACCTGTACCTCCCCTGTACGTTAATGGTTTACCTATTAAGGAAAAACCCCAATCGTTTAGTACTGAGTCAACAAGTTACCTAGGGTTCATCGGGCAGAAATTCCCTTCACTAAGCTAAGCCCAATAGTGTAGGTGTGAGCTTATTACCCAAATATGATCAGCTGACTCTCAGACAATGAGCTGGCTCTGCATTGCAGATCTTAGCTTCCGATACCTAAAAGTATTTTCTGGCCCTTACTTCCAGCTGGCAGAAGGCAGGAAGCAAAACCCAGCAGAGCCTATGTTAGAATTTAAACCATTACTAAACAGTTTGTCTAGTTACATGATGGGAGCAGGCATTCCTGGCGTCATAACCACTACAGCGATTTCTAGTGACTATGTTGCTTGGAATGTTCCTTTAAAGCTACCATCAATAATATATACATATTTACATTGCATAATAACAACTGCATTTCTAGTATCTCCTTTTTATTATAAAAGTAAAGTTAAAGTGTTTCATTATAACTGCTGTATCTCTTCCTCCATATATATTTTCTTTCTTAAATGTACTCTTTTAATTTACTCAGGCATTCCTGATGATAAAATTGAGAAAGGGAGAGACTTTAAGTTCACCACTGAGGTTGTTCAGAATGGCAATGACTTTACTTGGTCACAGATTTTCCCAGGATACACTCTGACCAACAAGTTCACCGTAGGACAGGAGGCCGACATGGAGACCATGGGTGGCAAGAAGTTCAAGGTAAGGAGTTTTCTGTCTACTAGGTCTGCATCAATTGGTTGCAATGCTTAATCCTTGTTAGAGCACTGGAAACAATTTGAGAGGGTTGGAAGAGAGAAGCAATTTCAGTGGTTGCACGGTGCACCCAAGGGTGTCTTTTGTGAAGATTCTCCAATGACTCTGAAAAGCAGAAACCTGGAGGTCCTTAATGACTAGTGAAACCCCAAATGTTAAAAAACTAAAATAATAATAATAATAATAATAATAACAAAAGCATTGTCCAAGAAGTATAAAATATTACATGTCCAGATATCCAATAGCAGTACAAAGCACAAAAACATACGTGTATTCCATTCAAAGGCACATCAATTTCAGAACTAGATCACAGTCCTGATTTGGGACTTACTTCCTTCATTGGAGGGAAAGTGATGTCCCCAAGGCCAGTCTAAGTGAGGACTTGGGTGGCACGAGTAGGTTGCATTAGTTGTCTTTCACCAGCATGCTATTTGTGTTGATGGTAGATGACTTTATGCACAGAATTAACATTAGCCAGTCTGGAAATCTCACTCTGGGTTGGCTAATGATGATGCTGGAGGCGGCGTTACACCACGCACAGCAAAGTGCATTATCTCTGTATTTGCCGCATTCCTTTGTGAAATGCTCCACATATAGACCCCAAGCACGAGGACCACTTTAAATTACCGACGTGGTCATCATGGTACTTAGCATAACCTAATAAATTGTTTTATCATTTATAAGGGATAGCAATATTACTTCATCTTCAAAGCTTGTGATTATGGGTATAAAATCCCTTTAAAATTGTTGGAGATGTCATACTCTGTAGATCTGTGGTATGAACATAGATATTTGGAAAAAATACATCATACATTACAGTAGCTAAAAAAAAAAAAAATAATCATATGTGAACTATCTTTGGCTTTTATCTACTATATGAAGAGGGAAATGGAATTTTTTTTACAAGTAGCAAAATCATGTTTGTTAATGCAATTTGTTTTAACTAATTAGATCTTAAATGATGCTAATAAATTGCATTTCATATTTATACAAGATTACTCATGTCATTACATGTGACTGAAGTAATACATGTCATCATCAATTTTCATAATATTGTATTATTCATGAGACATTTTATTAAATGTAACCTCTAATTAATTCAGCAGAATCATTAAATGTTTCTACTATGTTGCAAATATTGTAGTATTGTTATGATGTACTAGAATAAAACAAAATATATTTTGCATTCTAATCCAGCGTATTGCTACAGTAAATCATTGTATGTAAACCACAAGAATGCATATACTATTTTTCTGTCTCTAACATTAATTAATGCATGACTGCTTAGCAGGCAACATTTAAATAGATTTGATAGAATGCACCATAATATAGTTTTAGAATCAGTAAACTTTGGATTTACTAAATAATCCAATTTACAATATAAATCTTAGTTTAAACCATCTCTCAATATAAATGTGTTACCTGAGCATGAGTTTTATACTGTTCCAAAAATAACTATTATGGGAGACTGTTTGAACACTGACAAATCAATAGGAAATCTACAATGCCAGTGGTAGGGATAGGTAAAGTCCTAATTTGTACTGTGCGGAAACTCTGTACCAATTTCACATACAATTACAGTGCATGGATTTATTTTGCCTAGAATAGAAAAGATATTTACTTGAAGCCAGATACAAAGCATTTAACCAGTTATTAGCAACTTGGAGAAAGTATTCACTCACTAGTGATCTAGCATGGGGTGTAGTCATTCTTTGCCTTTGGTTCCAAACTCTAGCTAATTACAGAGAGGATGATGTCATATTGCAGCTCCCTCGGTTGGTACTAGGACAGAAAAAGGATCAGGAAATGTAAAAAAAAGGATCAGGAAATGTTAAAGGACCACTATAGTGCCAAGTAAACAAACTCATTTTCCTGGCAGTATAGTGTTACTAGGTCCCCCCACCCTCATGGCCCCCTCCCGCCGGGCTCTATGGGGAGGAAGGGGTTAAACGCTTACCTTTCTCCAGTTCTGGGCTCCCTCGGTGCTGGGTACTCTCCTCCCTCTTCCGCCGAATGCGCATGCACGGCAAGAGCCACACGCACATTCAGTCAGTCCATAGGAAAGCATTCTCAATGCTTTCCTATGGACGCTGGCGTCTTTTCACTGTGAAACTGCTATGTTTACGGCAGAAAGGGTTAATCCTAGATGGACCTGGCACCCAGACCACTTCATTGAGCTGAAGTGGTCTGGGTGCCTAGAGTGGTCCTTTAATTTGTGCCTCTTTGGGTATTGATGCTCTACCTATAGGCGATATGGAACCTAGATACATCTTTAAAAAAACACCAGAGTGTTAGGAATGTAAACATGTATCCCCAGTACTATAGTGCTGAACTACCTATATAGGTTAAGGTCCCTGGCAATATGAAATAAAAAAGTGAATTTTACTTACATTAACTCCCACGCTGTATGGTCTTGCTGAGGTCATCATAGGAAAGCAGAAGGCTAGTGAACATGCGCGGTAAAACTCTACACTGTGCCAATCAAATGCTTTCAATGTGGGAATTCTGATCTATTACTGAGTTTGATTCAGTTACATTAGCTGACGCACCTATTGTGGCTGTCACTAGAACCAGGTAAACCCTGCAATGGCAGCATTCATGTAAAACAGCAATGTTTTCAATTGCAGAGTTAATAAAAAAGAAAGGGGCAATGCACCCAGACCACTTCATTAAAGTGAAGTAGTAATGGTGCCTTTAGTAGTCCTTTTAATATGCCCCACTCCTCAAGGTAAGCAGTGGGGAGGAAAACGTTCTCCCCCCACTGCCTTGTTTTAAGATTTCATTCACATATTATTATTCTGTTATTATTTACATAGCGCCTACAAATTCCGCAGCGCTTTACAATGGGTGGACGAACACACATGTAGTTATAACCAGACAAGTTGGACACACAGGAACAGAGATTAACTAGTAAATGGAGATTAAATGGAATTCACAACCAGCAAATCAGCTCTGGCTTTTCAAAACGTTTCCGGTTTGAATTTTCATTACTAAATTCACATTAAATAAATGAGTGATTTAATTAATAATTATTTTGCTAAATAGTAGTCATGATGAATAGCTAAACTGATTAAAAAAACACACTGTCTCACACTCAAATTGTGGCTCCATGCCATTTTATTGGCATGGACTCATGCAGGTTGGTTCAGGCAGGTATTATTAGTCCACCCTGGGGCAATGGCCTACAATAAATTGTCTACTGTAGTCTCACTGCTTTCTAAGTGCACTGGAGATCTCTCTGATAGGGTTTCATATAACGTTTTTGTTATATATTATATCACAATTGCAGAAGGAGCACTGAGTTAATTTTATAGCTGAAGAATGGGTTTAAGAGCTAATGCCATAATATAGCTCGGGTCTCTGAAAATCACTGCTCTGCAGTGCAATGGGAAATTCTTTCACATCTAGTTTATTATAATCCTGTGTAAGTAGGAGCTTTATGTGATGACTAACACTAACAATAAACTTTCATTTGCAGACAACTGTTAAACTGGACGGTGGAAAACTTGTTGTTGATTTCCCTAAATACCATCAAACCACAGAGATTTCTGGTGGAAAGCTAGTGGAGGTGAGTTGTTAGTTTTACACACTTCCATATGAATTAAACTGAAAAAATAAATAAAACCTAACAAACCCGCCACCTGAAAAGGTAGGCAATGTTGAGATATTTATAAAACTGTATTTTTTTACGTTTAGATTTTTGGTGTTTTATTAATAACACATTTTCACTTACATCTGTAATTAGAACATAATATGTCCCTGCATGTGTCTGACCTTTTTTTCATTTAAATGATGGCTCAATCCATGAAGGGAACATTCCACAGTTATTAGAATACAAACAAAATACTCAAGTGCACTAGAACATATACTCTATACCAGTTAATAAGGTAGCAGCCAAAGCAACACGATCCCAACAACCCTGCACTCAAATAAGAACAGAAAAAGGAAAGATGTAAAACGACATATAAAATCCACTAGAAGAGACCTTAATGAACAAACAAGGTCCGTTCTAGTGGATTTTTAGGAACATCTTGTTTTTTTCAATTCCACATTTATTCACTAAAGTTTACATTTAAAGTGAACTCCAAATGATAACAGTGGCATCCTCCAAATCCTAGGATAGATATTCAATTCATCTTGTGAGCTCTGAAGATGCTGTGGGATGTGTTTCCCTTTGCGCTCAGCCAGGTGCAGTTCATGTCATCTTGTCATCTTGGCCTTATCCCTAGAAGGTTCAATAACTGCACATTGTAGATGGTGTCGACAGTAAATCCACCTCTCTCATCCAGGCTTTCCCAGACTGAGAGTCATTGGAGTTGCAGTGAACAAAATCTAATGTGAATTATTTATTTCACTAAGGGTTATATCGTGGGTTAATAGCACTATTCCAGATTTATTTTCTTCTTTTTTTTCTTTCACAACTCAAGCTTTGCGTTTACTAGACCTTAAAATTGTCAGAGAGTAACTTAAATTCTAAAAACATTTTTATTTATTTACTTTTTTTTTTTTAGATCTCTGAAGCCGGTGGCGTCACCTTTAAAAGAGTTAGCAAGAAGTTGTAAAATGTGACCCCTGTATCACAGACTGATATGCTTTAATTTCATACAAATAAACATGTTTTGCTTATTATTTCTTTTGTATGTGTTTTTCTTTTCTATTTTCTCAAGAGTAAGTTAGTGGGAAAACATAAGGTTTATCAAAAGGAGGAGACTTAAAGGAACACCCTGTAATGGTTATGGTGTCAGGAATGCCATAGCATTGTAGGTAGTCAAACTGTTTGGCAAATTACCTGGGGTCTACCTGGTACCAGTCACCTACTCCATGAGAGCAGGAAGCAGTGTAGGGCTTAGTTCTCTAACTCTAGACACTCTAAGAAAATGAGCTGGCCAATTATGTCAGGGTTTAGTTTTATCATTCCTTTAAGTAATATTCAGAGATAATATAGACAGGCCACCAAGTTAAGGTACTTTACTATAAAATTGGTCAACTCTTGTACTAAAATGGATTAAAAAGCCATAAACCCATGTGGAAGAATGACATCCTCTATTTTAACACAGCAGAAAAGATTAATGAGGGTGTTATTGCACAATAGAGTGTAGGTCAATGGGTTTTTTTTTCCCATCTATTGACAAAACAGGTTCTCCACAGTGAGAAATTAAGGAAAATGTGTCCATAGGCACGTACACAAATAATCACTCACAAGAAATACAGTGCTCATAAAGAAAATAATATTTACCTCAGATCAGAGGAAATAGGAAGTAAACCCATCAGATTATTTAACTCTGTGCACTTTTCCTTTAACCATTTTAATTTTTCCAAACTAACCTCTCCCAAATCTGCTGATTATTTATTTATTGTGTGTTTTTCATATGTTTAATTTATATCAGAAATTTCACAGACTGAGTGTGTACCGCTGCCATAAAAATTAAATTTAAAAAAAAAGATTTATTCACTGTTACTGCCTCTAAACACAGCAATACCCCACCTGTAAACTGCCAGGTGAGCAACATATATTATTACCCTTAACTCACTGGATTGTGCTTCATGCTACACCAAGGATTTCCTTTTCTCTCTGTGTTTTTTCCTGAGTGCATTTCTAGAAAAGAAGAGGTAGGGTGTCACCTCAATACACCAAGGCTTTTGTGATTTGAGCTTGTCCACTTTTTGGCTCTACACTTGTGAGTTTGACCATTTCTCCTTCTCTTACTTTACCTTCCTGCTCCTTGCTGACCCTTCCTGTAGGCTGCCTCCCCCCATCCCTCACTTACCTGATCTGTAGGCTGCCTCACCCCCATCCTTCACTTACCTGATCTATAGGCTGCCCCATTTCTCACTTCCCTGATCTACATGCTGCCCCCCCTTCCCTCACTTCCCTGATCTATAGGCTGCCTCCCCATTCCTCACTTCCCTGACTTATAGGCTGCCCTCCCCATCCCTCACTTCCCTGATCTATAGGCTGCCCCCAATCCCTCACTTATCTGATCTATAGGCTGCTCCCCCTATGCCTCACTTCCCTGATCTATAGGCTGCCCCCCTCTGCCTCGCTTCACTGATCTATAGGCTGCCCCCGCCTCACTTCCCTCATCTATAGGCTGCTCCCCTATGCCTCACTTCCCTGATCTATTGGCTTCCCTCCCATGCCTCACTTCCCTGATCTATAGGCTGCCCCCTATGCCTCACTTTCATGATCTATAGGCTGCCCCCCATGCCTCACTTCCCTGTTCTATTGGCTGCCCCCCCCATGCCTCACTTCCCTGATCTATAGGCTGCCCCACCATGCCTCACTTCCCTGATCTATGGGCTGCACACCCTATGCCTCACTTCCCTGATCCATAGCCTGATCTATAGGCTGCCCCCTATGCCTCACTTCCTGATCTATAGGCCCTCCCACATGCCTCACTTGCCTGGTCTAAGGCTAACCACCTATGCCTCATTCCCTGATCTATAGACTGCCACCCATGCCTCACTCCACTGACTTATAGGCTGCCCCCCCCATGCCTCACTTCCCTGATCTATAGGCTGCCCCCCCCATGCCTCACTTCCCTGATGTGTAGGCTGTCTCTGGCTGCATGTGCTGCTCCCCTGCGGATTTAGTCAAGAGAGAGAAGCTGGGATAAGATGTAGCTTTCTATCCCTGTCTCTCTCCATACACAGCGCCTGGTCGGCGCCGGTATTGCAGTGTATTTTCAATCACATGAAAAATAGCAGAACAAGCTGAAAAACCCGCAAGTGCTCCCCCATTTCCCCCCCCCCCGCGGATGCCCATGTCTATGGCTAGAAGCTAAATTACTTTCTTGTTAATCATACAAGCTCATAACTAGTATAATCCTCTGACACAACATGCTTCCATATACTGTTTTTTACCCTTATATTGTGCCCATTTGTTTTAAATTTGCCCTTGCAAGTGTCAGTCCCCTTGGCGCAGGGTCAGTCTAAACTTGGTTAGTTGTTTGTGTTTATTTAATAATGTGACCAGTGGTTCTTATTGTCAGAAGGCCACACACCAACACGCTTCCCATCACACCTACCAGTATTTACTGATTAACTCTGTGACATGTGGGCTTATGATACTTAGGTAACCGAGGCAGCTCCCATCTAGTACAGGGTGTAAGCTGCCATGCAAGCTTTTTATGGCCTGAAAGCTCGGTATCTCTATATAAATGGGCATGTATCTCAGAAGTTACATTTTGATTTATTTTAACTATTTGCCTCAACGAGTCCAGAGGGACACCCATGGTTTAAATATTGTCATTTTATCTTAAGTTGTCTTTCTAATGCTGTCTTGCTAACTTTCCCGCCATGTTAATGTAGCACTGCTTGAACTCGATCATGCCACAGGGAGTAGCTTGCACTCAGTCATTTTATCATACTGGCACTGGTTCCCCCTAACAGGATGACGTGCTATAGATCGCATGTATTGCACTATATGCCATCGGTTCGCACACTAAATGTGATTATTATTAGTTAACCCCATGTCTGGCATTTCTATTTAACTGCAAGCTTACAATACAGGCTAGGACTAGACCTGTATGGTTGGTTTGTTACTCAGCATGTATTTCCCATGTTACTTTTCTTGTTCTTAAAAAAGAAAAAGTGCAGCTTTTCAAGGTACCCTCTGTTATAGGTCATTTTAATGCTTGTATTGCACTCTGCACTTCAAAAATAAAGAATTAAAAAAAAAATTAAACTTACTCACGTGTCAGACCTGTTCTATAAAACAGATGTGTTCGACTGATCTGGGGAGCACTAAGGTTGTGGAGATAATATATATACTTGTTTTCCCAATGTCAAATAACCCGACTTCCCGACAGGGCAGGGAGGCAATGCCATTGTGCCCCTTTTTTGGCAGTGCTCAACACACGTTGAGTTCGATCCTTATTGATAACCTCATCCCCAAGATCACAGATTTAATTTAGATCATATTTGTTGGAAGTTTATGGTTGTTATACAGAAAGTTCTTCCAACTCCAACTTCACAAATTCTCCTAGGGTTGTCCAACTCATTCCCTGACCAAGATGGCTACATCTAGGAGAGGCTAACACCATGACTCTTGTATTTTGGAGGCAGACTCTGGCTCTAACATTGGTAACTAGGGTATAGACTGCTAGGACTTTAAAAGAAATGCACCGGGCAGCGTGGAGCAAAAAACAAAGGTACCTTAGGACCTGGAATGCTTGGATAAAATATTGGACATGAAACCTCCAAAGTACACTAGGGTAGAACCAAGAGTCTGCAATATCTACTCAATATTTACAGATGAATAACAAGAGCCCCTTTGTGACTGTCCACCAAGTAACCACTTCTCATTCCCTGATCCCACCCGATTACCAAAGCACCACGCCTCAAGAAGACCACATTTTACTATAATTTCCTTAGGAACCTAAGACCACGCTTATATATTCTAAAATGACAAATCCAATATGAAATATTAATTGTGTTTATGTATGTTGGCATTTTAATGTTCATTTTATATTCATGCAGCAGTACCTTGAATTGATATCAGCTTGTACAACTGTAATTGATTATTTATCCTGTGATTACTACAATATCTCATAGTTGTTCTATAGTGCAATATTATCTAATGCTCGACACCTACGCTGGTGCTTCCTTTCCCTCCACCATATTTGCTGCAATGCAAGGAGCGGCTGACTGCTGTCACTCCTCACACCTTCTAATAGCAAGCAGCAAGCTGCTGACTGCCCCATATTACAGACTCCGCTCTCCAGTTAGATGATTTAGGCTACCCAGTAAGCGTGAAGCCTTAGGTGGCTGCATAAATTGCCTAATTAGAAAGCTGCCTACGTCTGGGACCTTTTCTGTCCTTGTTATTAGACTTGGAGAAGACATTAAACAGGCTAGAATGGCCCTATTTGTTCATTCTCATCAGACATCTTTAGTTTCTTCTCACTTTCTTTCAGCTGTCTCAGCATTATATAATTTTATGTGAGTACAAATATGTATCCAAGAAACCACCTGGAAAATGTTTGCAGAATTTTAAAGACCCTATCAAAGATTCTCCTTTACCGTTTTGTTTTATTCCTGGAACACCTCTTAACTCTGATTGACCAAACCCAAGATAACTAGTATAACACTCACAGGTATAACCTATAAACTGTCAGCCTATACCCATTTCTTTCTATGTCTCCACCAGTTACAGAGGTTGGCTTATCTGTACTGCTTTGAAATTCCCCCCAAGCCCTGAAATCCCTTCATTTGTCTGAATTAAAATATAGCTGAAAATGTAGAATGAGCAAAACCACAACTGTGTGTCAACAAACTGTGACCATAGGGTCAGCTACATACTCATGTTTTGGACCAGTCCCTTGGTTGATGGCTTTTGAAAATCAATCCAAGTAGTGGTGGCAGATGTTTTCCAGCAACCTATACCCCTAGACATGTGGGCACACTTGTTGTCCTAACCTTTTGATCATCTTCCGTGGTATGAAAAAGGATTAGTAGCCACAATCTGTCTGGCAGTGAGCTGAGCCCTAGTGAAAACAATGGAGTGCTGGAGAAATACCTACTCCGGCACTATAAAATTAAATAGCCGACAATAAGCTTATGGATAAACTCTGCTTGAATTTGGTAATGAATTACATTGTCA